TTGATATTATCATAATTATTATGTTGATATGTTTACACCCGGTATTTACAATCAATCAATCAATCTACCAATCAATCAATCTATCAATCAATCATTCTATCAATTAATCAGGTGTGTACATGGTGTTCCTGGCCGTTATGGATATCTACGTCGGTGAGTCGTATTTTTGGGAGGGCTTTTCAACGGAATGGAGATCGAGCGTGCCCTGTCAGATCGCCGGTTTCATCTCCGTACTCAGCAGCGAGACATCCGTCTTCCTCCTCACCCTCATCAGCATCGACCGGTTCGTCTGTATTCTCTTCCCGTTCTCGACGAAGCGATTAACCGTCGCTTCGGCTCGTATGGCCATCGTCGGCATTTGGTGTTTCGCCCTATTCCTGAGTCTGACTGGGGTGCTGCTGAACAACGTCTCTCCTGATGCTTACAGGTAACGCGCCGAACAATAGTCAGTGTCCATTTGTATTGCATCTTAATGCACTGACATCAGATTTGGTTGAATTACCAATTAATGTGTGCACATGTCTCTCAGGCACCAGTAAACACTCCACCTTGGCTTCATAATTATCTCGAGGGTGAGGAACCTTTTTATTATGATGAGAAATCCTAATGGCGGTAGGTTTAGGGCACATTGTATTGCATAAGACCTGTCAGTAGTAAAAGTGAAGTCCACTCTCGGTGATTGACAACATGCACCTTTTATTGGGTTAGCACCTGAATGGTGTCAATTTCCATATTAGAATCCACTACCGCTACAGCCACTACAGCCCCAAGAGACGCCATTTCGGTTACGTCATGCAATAGGCTAATCAAACCTATACAGTGTGAGTCAAAAAAAAGTTTACACCTAGAAAATTGCAAATTATTAAAAAAAACATCGATGAACATTACATTGTTATATGTCTTATGAAAGAGTGTTTTATCCCAAATCATTTGGTATCATTTTTGTGCGGTATGTGTTTACGCTTGGGTGAACAGGAGACATTGTTTGCGAGAGTGCAAAAATCGATTTGCGCCAAAGTTGCCTATGTGATGTTTGAATAAAACAATTGGGATTTGGGTATTAATTCAGTCTTTGCAGATCCAAATAACATCCCTAACAAAATTAATCATGCCACACATATCATATATCGAATATCAAATATCAACGAACATTTGTGCGCGTGTGTGTGGGTGTGTGTGACTTTGCCCTTCGCAAAAAACATATGCAATGCATTTCATTTGATACATTCAATTCATTCTCTCACTCCGCTAATCCGAACATAATAAATGCAGTAGGCATCACTTTGGCGCAAGTCGATTTTTGCACTCTCGCAAACAATGCCACCTGTTCATCCAAGCGTGAACACATACCGCACAAAAATGGTACCAACTGATTTGGGATAAAACACTCTTTCATAAGATGTATAATAATTACTGTTCATAGACAATTTTTAAAATAATTAGCAATTTTCTAGGTGTAAACTTTTTGTTGACTCACACGGTACAGACGATTAGTGCATGCTCCGGTAATTAAACGAAATGTTTTTGCACTGTGCACTGTTAGTGTTTGGGTTACTTGATTACGATATCACAGTCACATGACTGACAATACCCTGTATATATTATTTAGCATATATAGGCCTATTGTAAAGTTTAAATTAAATCGTTATGACAGTAATGTAGTTTCATATCTACTTACTTTGTATTGATATCAACAACATTCTTTTACATTTCATACAGTTTGAGTGACGTCTGCGTGGGTTTGCCTTTTATCCGCAAATCAACCGAACTCCAGAACTCCGTAGACGACCGTACCACCGCCGTTTACCAGACAGAAACCTTCTTCACAGAGGCTACATCGTCGATCTCCACCTGGCAATTCTCCATCGTCCTCTTCCTCGGCATCAACTTCGCTAGTTTCCTCATCATCCTCTTCACCTACATCGCCATCTTCATCAAGGTCCGCTACTCCCGTGTCGAAGTCGGCAAGACGAACCAGACGTCGAACGACATCAAGATGGCTATTCGGATGTTCCTCATCGTCGGTACCGACTTCTGTTGCTGGATGCCCATCATCATCCTCGGCGTCCTAGTCCAGACGGTCGGGATCTCCGTCACACCCAACATCTATGCCTGGCTTGTCGTCTTCGTTCTCCCCATCAACTCCTCTCTCAACCCCTATCTCTATACCATCGTTCATTTTCTACTAACGTCATCAAAATAATGTGGGGCGTCTCTTGCTAACATTCTTTAGGGAAATGAGGTTCAAACTTTTAAAGACCGTCAATACTACTGGGCCAGAAGGGATTAGACCACACAGCGAGGTCACTGACAGGTGGCTATCTCATTAACTCAGCTCTCAACTAACATAAGAAAAAGAGGATCATGGGGGATCAACAGGCACCGATTGGGGGAAGTTTTCTATATAGAGGGAGCAAGTAGCTACAAGTAGGACAGTGGGGCTTTAAGGAAATGAGGTTCAAACTTTTAACTTAGGCCTAGATATTCTTTGTATTTCGATTAAATTAGATTTCAATTATTATAGGTGGTCTGCATTGGGTGTCTCCGTGCAAGGCTTTATTGTACATGATCATAGGATTGGTTTCTTCCCGTGATGAATATTTTGTTGTCACTTTTCAAAGAAATTTAATTTTTCCTTTGTTCACCTCTGCCTTGAATCTATTATTATTAGTATGATATCTATAATGGTAACTATGATATCAATTATTATTATAAGTAGTATTATTATTATAACTATGATATCAATTATTATTAGTAGTATTATTATTGTTATAACTATGATATAAATTATTATTAGTAGTTTTATTATCAGTTATTATCACTATCATTATTGTCATTATTGTTTTCTATTATTTTTGTTATTATTATTATAACTATGATATAAACTATTAGTAGTAGTTTTATTATCATTGTTATTATCACTATCATTATCAGCATTTGTGTTTCTATTATTTTTGTTTTTATTATTATTAATATCATTATTATTATTATTATTATTATTATTATTAGTAGTAGTAGTAGTAGTAGTAGTAGTAGTAGCAGAAGTAGTAATAGTAGTAGCAGTAGTAGTAGTAGTAGTAGTAGTAGTAGTAGTAGGAGTAGTAGTAGTAGTAGTAGTAGTAGTAGTAGTAGTATCATTATTAGTATTATCTTTATTGTTATCATTATTATTATTATTATCATCATCATTATTACAAATTAAATTATTGTTATTATAATAATAATAATAATAATAATAGCTCACATTTATAATGCGCCTAATACTTTGTTTCTAGGCGCGGAACATATTATTATCATCATCATCATCATCGCCATCATCATTTTCCTGTGAAATTTTACTCATTTCATTTTGAAAAAATAGTTTAGCATTGCGATGTATGTTATGTAGTTTTAATTGGTTCACCCACTCATACAATTACATGCACATCTATAGTAGGTTACCTAAAGCCGTTACACTTCAACGAGTTTTGTGACATATATATATTTCAAAATTGTGTTTGTACATGTTTGTGTAGTTTCAAATGAATTCAACACTAACAAAAAGTTCATTTAGAAGGAAACAAAATAAGATCATCAACTTCAAAAAGTTGTACTAAGTATTTCACTTGCTATGTGTAAAACCATTTATAAAATATACTGTGTATTTTTTAAATATCTATTTGACGTGTCAAGTACAAACATTTTAGGCTACAAGGTTTTTAAAATGTTCACTAAAATGTTGAAATTCCTACTGTTGTATACATTCATATTGATAATGGTTATTCCTTGGCGCCAAATCTGATTTAAAATGGCATCGTGCATGTTATATATTTGGTCACGACAATTCACCAATTTGATAAGAATGATTTAAGAAATATATAACTTTGTAATTAAAAAGAAAAAAGATTCTGTCAATTCAAACAGGAAACTTTCAGAAGGACTTTTAAACAAAACCAATTCGTAAATTCTAGTTCATTTGAATTGATATTGTTGACAGAATATTCTTTGATCTGCACAGTATTTTTTCAGTGCTTTAAAGTGCTCTCACTGTCTTAATAAATAATATCTAGAAAACACGATAAGTCGCAATTTTTTTGATCCACAAAAGAGTAATTTTCAATGATTTTAATGGAACATCATACTTTTATGAGAATTGCATGTAATTTCGTGCGGAAATGTGTTAAAGACATTTACAAAAGAATGGAACATCATACTTTTATGAGAATTGCATGTAATTTCGTGCGGAAATGTGTTAAAGACATTTACAAAAGGTTTCCCTTTTTATTCGGTAATAAAGATTTTTTGGTATCACATAACTTATGATTTGTTCTATTGAAGAATATTGTTTTAGTTATGGATGGTGTGATGTTGTCGGCTTTGTCGTGGTCTCCATGATAACGGTCGATTTGAAGTAGTTGATGGTCTGATGGTTTGTTTTACCTGACCGATAATAAAGCATGAGTATTCAATGCTGGTAAGTAAGTAACCAGGGGACCGGCAGCTTTAAGTCCTCTCCGACAGACTAGGTAATGAGGAGTAATGCCTTACCAAAGGGCACTATATAGCACATTGACTTGGATTCGAACCCGGGACTTTCCGGTGTATACGAGACCGCATCACTATCACTGAGCCATTGTGTCTTACTTCTTGTGTCAAATTAATGGGATATAATAGTGTTGATGAAGACTTTGATGTTTGACAATTCGAAATCAGGAATGTCGGTAAGGGAGTTCATGGGAAGGGAATTTATCATCAAAATATGTGGACAGACCGTCAACACCCCCTGTCCCAGCTAGCGACACTTAAAAAATGACTTCGTCCCTTTTTCGATGGCGACCCTAACTCTATTTAATGTTCATACCCCTTACAGATGAAATTGAATTATCTATATTTATAAGTTACACCTAACTGCCGACAAAAGATGAATTCGAACCAGGTTTTCAAGGGATGATGTCGGTACTTATGATATCATTGTACTGCAACCTATTACAAAATACAGATCCCTTTCCCTATACAGGGGTTGATCTAGGGGGTTCGGAGGTTTAACACCCCCCCCCCTCCTTTAGCGGCCAAGTGAGAAAAAAAAAAGGGGGGGGGGGGGCAAGAAAAAAAAAAGAAAAAAAAAAAGTAAAACAGTAAAACGGCGCGATTTGGGGGAAAATCCTGGATACGCCACTGGGTCAACCCACCCCCCCTTGGCAAAAAGCTAGATCCGCCCCTGAGTATAGGAGTTTAATCGTGATGTGCTGCAAAATAGAACTCGAACTTAAAAATCAGAGAAATAAGAACTATTTAACATTGTGATATACATATTGGACAACATAATACATGTACATACAGATATTACAGTTGAAAAGTAAAACATTTAACACAGTAATTGCAACTTGAAGGTAGAAGGTATGTAAAACTGTAAAGTTTGAATACAAAAACGCGATCCTAGTACATTAACACCTTGATGCAGATAGAGAACTGTGAATAAAATGCCTCATCTAAGAAAATTCGCACCTGGCAGAGGTTCGAACCCCTACTTGTTGATATGAGAGTCAGGTGAATACTATACCACGGTGCTCACACGTCATCATCATTATCATCAAAGTAACTCGGTGATTATGACGTAATGAACGGTAAAGGAAATGTATGTGGACCCCGGCCTCCCACCTTTATCCTTCACCCTCTCCATATTCATAGTCTTTCTATTTAGGTATTTCTATCTCTATTTTAGTCATCCCTTTTCTCCATCCATCTATCCTGAATAATAAATATTGATTTTTCTTTTTTTTGGTGAACTCTCAACCCCTCTTTTAGAATAAAATTATCAACAAAAAATATTAAAGCTCTGTGGCAAATTTGCTCTCACTTAATCAAAATAATTGAATGACATCAGTAGCTTATAATTATCTTGTCATTGACAACACGTTTTGTGAAATGGCCCAGATTCGTTTATCGCCTTGAACTTGTTATGATGGAATGCGTGACAACTAGGCCCAGGTCATAGATGTCACCTTTTATGAAAATGCTCCACACATCAGATTTTTGTGATTTCCCTTTAAGTTGCAATCAAATATTAAAGGATAGGCCTATATATTCCGTTCATACCTAAACATTGCGAACGGAATAAAAATGTTCAAAGGACGATGCAGCGACACAGTGTCCTTTTACTAAAGACCAATGCTAATTATGATCAGCCCATCTAATTTTTTTCAAAGGTAGACCTTGTTCTATAGAAATTGCAACTCCATTTTTGTTAGTACCTGTAAAAACGCTCATCATTATGTTGTCTTACGATAGAGACGACTACAAAATGACCTAGGTTCAAACTTCTGCTTGAAAGTTGTAGCACAGTTCTCAAAAACAAAATATTATTTCTAATAACATCTTTCAAATACGTTTCTCATTGTCATTTGAATAGCCGTAGGCCTATGATTGTATTAATTCAGCAGTCAAAACATTTTTAAGCAGTCAGCTTTCAAAAGTGTAGGGCGAGGATGTGACTTAAAATGATGTATATACTTTTTGTTTACAATTAATAATCCTCACTTCATCTGCAACCGTCTATTTTTGGTAAGGTATAATAATTATACTCTCTGCAAAATGAAGTGTACTCCACCCCTTTTGTTGACCTTAATTCTTTTCGGGTAGGTACCTCCCCGCAAGAATTATGGCGTACAAAAGAAAAACCTAATCTTCGACTTTGAACAATACTGCTTACACGCACGTAGAAATGTCGTCTGGTAGTACCGGGACGTCATTGCACGCATTAGTGCACTTATATCAACCATCCGCATTTCCGTGTATATTTTTACCGCACCAAAATGTATACCTGTTGAGAAGCGTATTGTATTGACAAACTCTATCTCACAGTCCCATTGATAGACATTTGTGATAGTTTGACGCTATCGGGACATTGCATTATAACCGTGTGCCTAAAGTAGGCTTGATATTTTGATGACGATGCTTGTTAAATGTGATTTCATGGACTTGATCATGCATTATGGCGTTTAAAAGTCGGAGTTCGTCGACACTGCAGTGAGTTTGGTGCAGGCGCCAACACCAATCGACAGTGATCGAAGAGGAAACTCTTGAAACTGCTGCCTCACGCCCAAACATTCAACAAAAGGCCGGTGGTTTATAAACAAAATATTGTTCTCATACACTTCTGTAAGGTAAGTTTCATCAGAAGAAGTTCCACTTCTTCTTCTTTGAGTTAATCTCCTTCACAGTTGAAGATTCTTGCAGACCGATGAGTGTGTGTGTGTGCTTAATAAAGCCAGGTCAGAAGTTACTTAAATTGTCTAACATTAGGGGTGTGAATAGTTACTCAGTCTTTGATGTTATAGTTCAATGAATTAACTATAAACCATAACAGCCTATATTATGTGTATAATGCAAATTTTAAAACGTACCAATAATTTTAACTTTGTTGATATACAATGTCTGTAAAATAGCTGTCTACAAATAAAAGGTTATCGATTGGGTCTACGTATTGATAAATTGGTAGGACTTTCTGAAATAAGAGCTATGTATAGGCTGTAGCGAGTTACTGTGGTTAAACAAAAAAATGAAATGAAACGGTTTTGCTGGCAGTATATATATATATATATATATATATATATATATATATATATATATATATCTTGTTCATGGGCAGTCGAATTAAATCTACATAACTCTATAGGCCTATAGTTCATGTAGTACGTTACTATTTTCTTAATGATTTAAATTAGTTATAGGCTACTAGTTTATGTCAGTTCCATGGAACTGTATTACGAATATGATATTGAGTGATTGAATCTTACGTCAGCAAAGCTCCGAGCTTACGTTGAACCGTTTCCAAGCAGTGAAGCCTTATTCACACAACGTACCAAAAGACGGCATTTGTATAAAACATACTGAAATAAAGATATGAGTTGTAATCATAGTAATCATTTAAGCATAGATTTGTAAATCAATAATGATAAATCAAAATCAATTTTAGCAACTGTCCAGCATAGATTACTACACCCAAAAGCTTTCTATGGGAATGTTTGTAGATCTTGTATTCTTAATTACTGTCTGAAAAACCTAGGCCTAGTTTATGTTTGAATTTGCATCTTGTCATGCACCACCTACCCACAAATGGTATTACAATGGAGTTCCTTTTCTATATTGAATTTTGAGGGGGCATTGCCCTCTGATTTTCTGGATTAAATATCAATATATTGAGTATGCGTGAGAGACTAAGGTAGTTATGGTTGATAAATATATTTTAATGACGTACACGCCTAAAACTAAAACAACAACAACAACAACATAATAATATACGAAGAATTATGAACATGAAGCCTGTGTTAATGATGGTGTTTTGCACTAAAAGCGTCCAAAAATAGACATTTTATCTTCCTGTCTTATGGCACTCTAGTTTTAATTTCGTTTCATCTTTTGTTGATGATGGGATGCTAATGACCAATCGATCGTTCGTGTGACCAGTTAGAGAATAGTGATGGACGAAATGGCTTCGTCACTTAGATATCGTCGTCATCGTATAATCATCCATATACGTATTCCCCTGATTATTTCACGTTTCCCTTTGTTCATGTTTTTGCTTCAGTTTCAATATCAATTTCGATTACGATTTCATTTCGAGTTGAATTCATTGTTTTCTTCAAATACATTTTTTCCTTCTTCCTGTAGGCCTAATAATTTGATAATCAAGATGATAATAGGCCTACGCTGTTAAGCGTTTTATTCACTTATACTTGTCATTTATACTAATATATGTCTTTACTCTAGATTATTTCAACTTGAGTTCGTTTATTACACTCACTCACAAAACTGAAATAAACTACAGTAGAGACAAATTTCTCTTTTAGAAAGAAAAATATGCAATCTACATTATTTTGCATACTTTCATTACGTAATTAAGAATTTCATTCAAGAATTATTGATAACAGAAGTAGTACAGGTCTATAAGCACTTGATTTCACTTAGTCACCACACAGGCCAACCGGGATAACCCTCTTAACTCTGACGTGAAAAAAACGGGCATTTTTATGACCCTTTCTTTTGTTTGTTCTTCTCTCAGTTGTATTCAAAGAAAACCCTTTCGTCACAATTCCTATTGTTATTATTTTGAGGACAGTAGCGTATACTAGAATAGTCACGGTCTATCTGCCCTTGAATAGTATTTGGAATATCCAAATATAGAACGACGTATGGTGCATTGATTGCAAGAGACACTGAAATAATATATACCTTTCTGCCTCAAAATGATTCCCACCACATTGGGGGAACTACATTGAATATAATAGTACATGTTTCTATAGAACGACTTCAGTAACGAACGTCTTTGCTTGGCTCTAAATACCTTTTTGGTGTCCCTTCCTTCCTATTTCCTTTTCCACTTGTATTCTCTGAAATATTTACTAATAAATCGAGAATTCAAGACACATCGGTGGTGGGGATTAATCAATTTATTATAGGAATACAATAATAAACATATCAATGTAATATGATATCTGTATAGGCCTTTATAAAAGCAACCATACATGACTTTGAAAACATAAGGTAATTTATATTACAAAATGTAACATGTTAAAAGATGGTTGTTTCGCAAAAAGATATATAGACAAAAAGAAACATCAACTTTCGCTGCAAACCAGATAAAGAGAGAAGAAGAAAAAGAACAAAAACAACAACAACAACAATAACAACAACTAAGAGCACAATATAAGATAAACAGGGTATAGTTCGGGAGTTATTATCGAAGTTGAATTGGACCAGGTTTCAAGTTTTCACAACGTTTTGCTCGTATTTTCCTTGGCAAGACAGAAGAGCTTCATCAGTCAGACTGGTTCTAAGAAAAAGCAAGAGAAAGCAGAAGAAAGCAAAATAATGTGTTTCAATAATGATTAACAAGCTGGAGAAAAAAAATCAATAAAAATATATTTCTCAGAAATGAATTTTAAACAGTAAAAAAAACACTTAAGTGTTATTTTATCTAAACAGCTCCAGTGAAAATATAAGTGGTTGAGTCCATGTATTCTCTTGAGATAAATGAACATGAACAATATCGAAAAGTTGCAAGTTAAGAGGCCTTTCATTGAGATTGTTGATTGGCATGCAATCATGCACGATGCAATATGATCACGGTCTTTTCATTGTCACAGAAGGCTGAAAATCTCAAAAATCCACTTCAACATCAGTGTGTTGTATCGGATTATATAAAGGGAGATTTCATGTTTCAGTAAGTGATTCGCTGTTGGAGAGCCTTTACGCTCGATTTGAATGCAAGCATTACAAAAACGACACCAATGAACTGTGGATACTTGAATAATTATTATTATTTAACTCTCATGCAATATATTGCCTTGATAATGAGGGTAATTGACAAAATCATACAAGGGTAATGACAATACCAATAATGAGATGCAATATTATTCGTCTCGAGATGCGTGCTTCAGGAGCTTAAGTAGTAATTTCAATTTAGAAGCTATAACGGAAATCAGTATACAGTAAATAATTGGGACAAATATACAGTGCATACAGTCTATGTGCACGGCGTTAGCATACAAGTATACAATGTGCATTCTGATTGGAATCATCATAACAATACACCTTGATAGATGGGGTATTAAGTTTGTAGAGAATTATATGTGCTAGAGTTCGCATGAATGGTGTCACTAATGCAAATAACATGTCCTTTTCTTTGGGAAAAAAGTGATTCGTCATTGTTTGTATTTGTCGGGTAAAGTCGGAGATATTCTATGAGGTATATATTTTGTATGTCGTATTGAAATAAATTATGTTAATTATCAAATCAATTTAGTATCTACACGCAGACATACATTGATAAGAAGTATGTGCCGACGGTAATGTAGCTCATTTGTCTGAGATTGTCTTCTCCCCCTTTTTTTTCTTAGACAAAATCAACTAAAGATTCTTTACTTCATTTATGTTCTTTTGATTTTGTCACATGTTTGTATTATAAACACCCCTTTATTTCTCATGCTCCCTCCCCCTCTCTCTCCTCTCTGGCCCTCCCTCTTACCTCCCAGCTCTATTCCCCCTCTTCCCCTCTCCTCTGTTCTCTCCTCTGTTCTCTCCTTATCATTCTATTTTTAAGTAATGTCACTTTTTATACATCTTCTCTATTTTATACATGCTTGCCTCTGTTGCCATTCCTCGTAGCTAGCCTTATCCCTCTTGTTAAGTATTTTATTCCTCTTAAATAATCTTATCCCCTGTTTCTTACAATATCTGGCCATCATCTTGATTGTGTTGACATAATACCCGGATTCAAAGTTAATACCGGTACTTGAATTGTTTACCAGGGGATAAGATTTCCTCGTTTTCATCAATAGTTAAGTAAACGAGACCCTCCCTCAGACAGAGTTTGGATAATAGGAGAGTTACGTCTGTGAGAATATTTACTATTCTCTTCTCCCAGTTTACACTCGTCATGTCGCAACGCCCCTCTTGAAAGTGCTACTGAATAGTCCCGTTTACCTAAAACAAACCGTAAGTTCACGAAGCAGTACACTCTCTCAATCCAAAGGAGTTGAAAAAAGACTGGAAATCCACTTTGTTAGGAGCAGGGGCGGATCGAGCCGGCGGCAGGGGAGGGGGCCCAGTTCTTGAGAAAACATTTAGCGGCAAAACAGCCGGCCGATAATTCGCTCAGTCAGGGGGTGAGCACTAATTTTATTCTTGTTGGCCCTCGAAAATTTGAAAAATCGCACCCCCCCCCCCTTGAGCACCAGGGGAGGGGGCCCTTCTCCGTAAATGGTATTAAAATTAACGTGTTTTTACACGTTTTTTCCCCCAGGAAGGGGGGGGGGGCCTCCTGGATCCGCCACTGGTTAGGAGCCATGATAGGAATAACTTGGTTAGAGAGTTGAATGCACTCGTAATCATAGTGGAACCCACTCACAAAATTTTGCTTGGCGGTGAGAGTGTATATTACACTATATTTTAGAGAATGGATTTCACTTAAAAACGAAGTGAGTTTCGACTCCCGTCCATTTAGAGAGCATGTATATACAAGACATCATTTTGTACTAATAAGGAATTTGATCCCTTTTAACGGCAATTGTGGTGATCAAATTCATCAAAAGCTTTTTTCTGAGAAAAAACACACTTAAGGACACTTATGAAACACTTATTAGGACTGAAATAAGTAGTTCCCCATACGCATTACCATTTGGCTTTACTTTGCTAGTTATATTTATTGAATGACGTCATGAGTTGAAGGCACGCGAATTTGATGAATACTACCATTAGACGCCAACACATGTATTAATAGGACTTTTAGATTGAGTGGACGAGAACGGAGTGAATGTCCACTGATCATGCGTGTCCATGGCAAGCCGTTTTAGCATTTATTCCTATTTCTTGATATCAAGAATTGGATTATTGATATGATGAAATGATTTTCTGATGTAAAGCAATGGTAATTCTTGATATCAAGAAATAGGAATAAATGTTAAAACGGCTTGCTATAGACACGCATGATCAGTGGACGTTCACGCCGTTCTCGTCCACTCGATCAAAAAGTCCCTTTTACGCTGTTAACCAATTTCTCAGGTTTTTTCGGGTCAATCTCATACAATCACATTAATACATGTAATTTCAATACAATAATTAATGGCCATTGTTATTAACAACATGATTTTAGACATCCAAATTTGAACCAGAAAAATGTGTAATAATTTTGTTCACCAAAATATTTGCTGAATATGTGATGGGCATAACAAAGGTTTAGTTTTAATTCTTTTTACAATGTTAAAGAGTAGACATCTGAAACGGTATGGATATGCAATGTAGTCAGAAGTGGTAGTAGAAGTGGTGGTGGTAGATATGATGACGGTGATGGTGGTAGCATGCAGTGCTAGAATTGTATATTAATGCATTTTTATATCTTTATGGAATATAGCTGTTCCAACGAAAACAAGTCACAATAATTATTGGGGAAATCATGACACGTGTCACATCGAATTAGTCGCTGTCATCTCTATTTATCCTTGCAGACTTTACTCAAGATATCGAAGTCCACCGTTAATTATATGACGTATTAATCGGAAAGGTATATTGACTCTTCAAGGAACACAAGTACCGGGCCCCTCTTATCAAAGAGTGCAACGCCAAATGGTATGAACAGGGAAATTCCCATCTCTGTTTCATGTCGCCTTTGACCCCTGTTGATATACATTGAAGAAAGAAAAACAATATAATTCATCGCATATTCCCCCCCCCCCCTTTTTTTTTGGTGAAAAGTCATGATATGATTTTATTGTTATTTACTTTGCATTTTTACGAGATTTGTTACAATGATGAAAAGCAAAAATGTTGGTGTTTGCTGGATATATTTAATGATGTAGGCTTCCAGTAAACAATAGGGGGCAGGCTTTGATGCAGATTCTAGCATTGTTATCATTTTTCTATATTCACATTCGGGGGATTGCGTGAAGATACAGTCTTTTAAAGTATATTGATAAACATACGTTTGACTTAATCAATAACACTAAAGATTTAGCGTGCAAAAGCGCAATTTTCTACCATATAATTATTTCTTCATTTCCAACTCCTCAAGTTACGTGAAACACCCCCCCCCACCACCAAATCTACAAGGGGAATGCGGCCACTGAGCTGGGAATGTTATACTGTGCCTATTTCACGAAATATGAGAAATATAATATACATAATTTCCTCCACTGTGTGGAGCACGACCTTTAAACATTCCTGGTTTCTATGTCAATAGGGTAGAATAATACAGCTAGCAAGGTCGACTATTCATCCATATCTGTCCTTGCAATGTGCCAGAATCTAAAAGTTTTATAAAAAACGATGGGTTTTCCCTAAAATTATATTTTTTTCTCGACATGAAGTACAATACACGCATACAATGTATACATGTTCTCTAAAAGATAAGAAGTTAAATTTAGAAAGGAACTGTTTGGAACCGATTGAGAACAGTTGATTGTATACTACATAATAATAAGTCTAAACTATGGTGTTTTGTAATCATCGAAATGATTTTAAAAAATTGATCCAATCTTGCGAAAAGTCAAATGCAATTCACATAGAAATGTATTTATGGGACTACCCACCTATGTGGTATGAAGTTTGGACAAAATATTCCAGCTATTTATCAATTTATTTAGAAGTCCAGTGCAATCGAAAAGAGATCATTTTAGGGGACATCATAATATGTCGTGTATGTTATTCCTCCAAATTAACATTGAGAAAATAATAGATTCATAAATTATTTTCACCTTTACAATGTTTACTAGAACACAACGTTCTCTGGCCATCTATCATGCATGTCATACATATATTTTGCAAACATTTGCATCGTTGTTTGAAGAGGTTTTTGTTGTCCCTTATGGTATTTAAACAGCTGGACAGGAATAAAAGCACACGAAATGATGGTGGATTTTCGATATCTGACGTTTTAGATAATTATAATTCTGCAGTGATTACAACTAGAGGTTAATTAAAAAAAAAAAAAATTTATGAGTTTTGAATGCCGTTTTTTACCGTTAGGTTTCATAATGTGGGGGTTTGATTTTGGGGAAGACATTCAGACATAGAAGAGGGAGAAAGAGAGAGAGAAAGAGAGAGAGAGAGTGAGGGGGAGAGGGAGGGCGAGAGAAAGAGATAGAGATAGGGAGATAGAAAGAGGGAGAGAGATAGGGAGGGGGAGAGAGAGAGAGAGAGAGAGAGAAAGAGACATTATTATATAGATAGAAAGAGAGAGAAAGAAACCCGCGGGAAACAACCCGACTGATGTAAAGTAATGTGATCATGAATTAATGCTCGTCGCTTTGAATATTACTGACGCGGACGAATGAATGAATGAGTTAACAAAGGCATATTGAAATACTGAACATATTTTTTCAGGAAAAAAAAGTATGTTAATTTATTATTATAGCTTCATACCATTTAGTATTGTTAATATTTTTCTTTCACATTTCAATCTCTTTCAGTTCTAAATTGGAATTCGGCAAGTGCTTCGAACTGAATAATTCCCAGGATTTCAAAGTTGCTGCTTGGAAAAGGGCGAATATTTCGTTAGAGGAGGATTTGTAAACTGTTGAATAGCAGGCTGTTCTGCTCGTACAGAGGCTCGGATTTTGATACTGTAGGATCGAAGAAACAGGAGTTTTGTGGTAACCATGCCTCGTGGAATCAATTTGGACGGTGCGGACGATCTTGCCGCACTGGACACACTCGACGAGGAGACTATGTTGGAGGCTATTTGTCGGCGGTATGAAAAGGACAGGATTTATGTGAGTATAGAACAATAATAAAACAAAAAACATCTACAAATCGTCGCCGTTTTCACGAACCGGCACAGCCCAACGCGCAACGAAATAAGTACATTCTGAGAAAAACGCGTTTTACGTTTAGCCCGTTTTGAATTCGCCAGAAACATGCCTTATGTCAAATTTTATATCACAAATTACATATCAATGAAAGGAAAATATTCTGTATTTTCTATACATTCCATTTGTTAAGCATAAAGACAATTACTATTAATATTACGAAGCTTTGGACTCTCGTGCCGGTTCGTGAAAATATTATTTTGCTGTTTACGTAGCAAAAATATTTTCACGAACCGGCACAAGCCACTGTGTCGTTTTTCCTATGTAACTTTACGCGCAAGACAAAAGCGCTCGCGCTGTCTTAGCGCGTATTTTATTTTCACGAACCGGCACAACCGCCTGTGTCGCGTCGTCTAGGACTTGTAAGCGCAAAGATATTTTCACGAACCGGCACAGCCCATTGACTTATAACGGCGCGTGCCGGTTCGTGAAAATATGAATCGTGCTTTTTGGCTCGTGTGTCGTTTTTGTCATTTGTGTAACCATGGATATCTCAAAAACTAAAGCGTTTTGGATGCTGAAATTTGGTGAGATGAAAGATTGTTGATAACTTATGCTAAAAATGCAAAAAAAATAAAAACTACATTTTGAAGGGATTTCGGTGGCTTGTGCCGGTTCGTGAAAACGGCGACGAAATATTTGACTTTATTATTATCGTCACCGTTATCCTCATCGTTAATATTTCAAACATATTGTCATCATCACTACCATTATAATTACCACGAGCATCATCATTAATATAACCACTATCCCAATCATCATCATCACCATTTCCATCAACTTTGTCATCATTGTCGGAAGACATAAATTCCTTTATGGTAGTAGGAATGACTTTATTTAATGTGTAGACAGGTGTTTGCAATTTTTAGATGATCGACCTGATGACTCTTGATTATGTCTCTACGCCTTAGTAATGTAATTTAACGTTTAGATATTAATTTCCATAGTAATTGCTGAAAAAATTTAGGTAGTCATTATAATCACCATCGTCATCACAATCATCCACAACACCATCATCATCATCATTACAACCATCATCAACATCATCGTCAGCATCACCTTCATCATTATCATCCGTCACAATCGTCATCCTCCTCATCATCATGATCACAACCACCAGTAATACTGTCATCATAATCATCACCACTATACCATCACTATCGACATCATTGCCAGGATAAGCGTTTTGTAGCTTATTGTGTACATTCATTATCAAAAGATGTGATATTTCATGAATGATAACATGTATATAATATTAACAGGAAATTTATTTATTTACTTTCAAAATTATCTAACAAATTGATTAATCATATTGCGCCACTTGGATACCTTCCACAATTCGTTTTCTTGAAACCTTTGTAATTCTTTCATTTGTTCATGACTGTTCCCAATGTATAACAAATTCTAGATTTTGCCTGAACCTTTCTCAAAGTTGAATTAATTGGAGAGCTAATTCCCACTCCAAGTGATAAATAAGTTTTGTTATGCATGAGACGTTGTTCTTTTCACCCACTGCAGACTTACATTGGTGATATTTTGGTAGCTGTAAACCCCTACAAGCCTGTGGGAATCTACTCGTATGAGGTATGGTATCAAAACATTAAAAAGAGTTTGTTTGAAGCAAGGAGACCCTGTGTGTTAAATTATATGAGTGTAAAGACCTTCTGGCTCCAAACAGATGAATATTCTATGCCTAGTGAGATGAAAGTATAGGTTAATGAAATATAGTATTGAAATATGTATATACATATACAACTACGGTAATTACATCGGTTTTTAAATGTTGTAAATTTGGACAGAAAAAGTGAAGATTAACAGTTCAACACTACTCTTGAGACAATTTATTTTGGTAGTCGTAATTGAAGTTGTATCATATTCATCATAGGCCTGATCAATGTAAAGGCTCAACATGACTCATGAAATTGACACTAATGCTTCTATTTCAGGTGAATATAATATATCAGTGATAAATTCATTATCTCATTAAGAGAGAGTTCACATGCATTTACAATTTTGCCCAATCAGATCATAGGCTAATCATGTCTATTTATTTTCTCTTTTCTGGAGACCAAACTCGTGATAGTACTTGAACGTGTGATAATTTTTCGCAGTGACTATTGTCCAAATTGATTATCATGTAAAACATATTTCAGAATAGGTGATTTCCAATTGTTAAAAATGCACGAAATAAATATATGTATAAAGAGATTTAGATCAATGGCATGTTCAGCATGAGGAGAAACTAAACGAATCTTTGAAAAAGAAAAGCTTGATGTATTATGCAGGGCTTTCTTGAAATGCAGATCCACTGTCTTCTAGTGGAACTGAATAAAACTACCCTGTTATAGAAATCTTGTATAAATAAATAAATATAATAAATGATAGTCGATGCCTTCTAAATAATGTAAATTGTCTGTTCCGGGATATGTCCCTTGACTCCATTCGTCGATGTACCCAGGTACTTTTCGCCTCTCCATGTTTGTCAATTCAAGGATACGTCACCTTTCTTTATTTCTTCTTCCACTCCCTAGAAATCACTTTCCTATGCCGACCTGAAATACAGGCAGTCCCTTCCGCCCCACGTTTTCGCTGTGGCCGACAAAGCTTATAGCTCTATGAGAAGAACAGGCATCAAACAATGCAGTGTTATCAGCGGCGAGAGCGGGGCGGGGAAAACGGAGACGGCCAAATACGTCATCGGGCACATCATTAGCCACTGTAATAGCAAGAAGAGCAACTTGCAGGAAAAGATTCTCCAGGTAAGTGCATGCTTTGTGGACTATCACTTTGTTTGACTATCAAGTTTCACACCGGGAGAGTTCATATTTAATGCCTCTGAATTCCATGTCATCAAAATGGAAAGTTAAGACGAAATATTGAAGATGGCCTAAATTGAGGGGATTGTATATGTTCAATATTTCATCGAATTGTGTTTTGCTCCACCCCTTTTAAAATTACGATTACCTAGTGAGAGTTTTGTGATGTACGTGGCATGTCATCTAGCCAACCTTGGTTGATATTTGTATTATTCACAGTGATAAAAACTGGAAAAGTATTCAATTTTTCATATTCAATATCAATCTCCTATTTCTTTTTATAAATCCAAGAAAAGTTCAATCCAAGTTGGTCACGAAGCGCTTTGTTGTAGGGTCGATAAAAGTCCTGAAGCTTTCTCAAGACATCCTCAGATACGTTGGGGTGAGGGCGTCCTTTCGATGGGATCATACATCCGAAATCGGGTCTTTCTGGCACTTGCGCACAGAAGAACCCCTTTGTTTTGGACTTTACAAAGTGTGATCGTTTATAGAACTTTGGTAATCCAAGGAATTCTTCTACTTTCGACATAGTTGGGTAAGGGTCTTTCGCAAAGGCATCACCGTCAATGAACATGAATTGGTCTCTCTCATATAAATTCAGTAATTTTTGTATGTGAATGATATACAGCCCTAGCCATGTGAACTTTGATACAACAATATCACCGCCAGGTTCCAGTATTGTCTTTTCGAACGTTTCCTGGATCCTGACGTTCTTGTAGATCACGTCAAAGGGTCGATCTTTGGGAGCGTTGGAATGTGCTACGTAGTGGAGGTACTCTGAGATTGCCCTATCAACAGGATCCCGTAAGATGACAAAAAACTTGACACTGGACGATAGGAACGATTGGAAGACCAAGGTCAAATGAGAATGAAAGAAACCGGGACTTTCTGTCATGGTTAGTTGGAACGGACTACTGAAACGCATAAGTTGGATCCATTTAGTGATAGAACTAGCATTGACTTGTTTTCCAGGGAACGGCATCTCCCTAGTTATGGAGATGACTGGATGAAGACCGAGGAACCTACTGAGGGTACCTGTACCACCTTTCTTAACGCCTATGACTATGGCTACTGGCAATCTCTTTTGGCACTGTCTCTTCTCTAGCAACCTCTCAGGAATCGGTGACTGCTTCCCGTCGTAGGTGTAGCAATTGTCAACTTTTTTAGTCCAATTTGGATCTGTCGAATTGATACGACCCAGGATCGTTTCGATGCTGTCCCCTGTTTTGAAACCATTATGTTCACTTTGTGAATGCGGAGAACATGTTTGTCTGGCGGCATCTTTTCTTTCTACCTCGGTTATTTCGTTCCATTTTAATCCTAGCGCCGGGTTCGGTCCTTGCGTCCTCTCTGATTGTGGCTGTCTATATATTCTGAGGAGAGCAGGGTAATTTGTAGAAATCATGCCACCGCCGAACGTAACAAGCGTAATCGCAATTGAAACTGAAAGACACGCCATCACCACCTTACACCTCATCATGGCAGACCTACACCGAAATGGTACCACATATGACTGTGATGTAAATCTGTCGCTGTTCTCACGGCCTCAACTATATTATTTTCCAAGTGTTTAGACAGGATAGGTGCTGATTGCTCCGCGTAATACTAAGTGAGAAGCGGTTTGTTTGTCGACATAAAATAGACAAACAATAATTGTACTCTTCAAGTCCAAATACTTAGGGCAGATGGCGTGATTTTCCGTTCAGTGACAAGATGAGCGTGTGACGTGCCGAAATTGAAATTTAGAGTTGATTTGTCTTTCGTTGATGCACCTTTTTAACGTGAAATATATTATCAGTTCCTGGGATTTATGGCTTCAATTGGATATTTACGAATTTGGAATATTGCAAATATGATGTCTTCGAGATCTAAACATAGAAAATGGTCAAAGCATGACCCAGCAGCTGAATATCAACCTACCGACAAGACGAAGTCTCTCAAGCCTGAATGAGGAGACCTCAGAAGAGTCTGCTGCTCAACAGACCGCAACCGCCTTTTCATATGCAAATATGGAAACAATCTCAGCAACCAAGTCTAACATAAAAGATTGCATCCGATGGATCAGGTAGTGAAAGCGTTTCGCTTAAAGGCAGTTGTTAAGGAGATGGTTGACGCTGTTTACACTGCTGTGTACGACCAAATCGCAAAAAGAGCTACACGATTCATTTCAGCTTGAGCTTTAGAAAAGTGAGAAAAAGATTATCGATTTGTCTTCTACCACTATAGCGTCAGGCAGAAACAGATCTTGAAGCTTGAATACATACCATAATCGTAATAAAATAAATTATATGATTCGATCTTCAAAGAGAAATTATTATTTTGATAGATTTCTAAAATTCTCGAAAGAGTGATGTTTAATTGATTGTATGGTTGTTTAATTCATAATAACATACTTAATTGCAAACAGTATGGTTTTTGTAAAAATTGCTCCACAGATTTTGTTTTCTTAGATGTATATGATAACATCATTAAATATGTGGATGCCAATAAACATGCAATAGGTGTTTTTCTGGACTTGTCGAAGGCATCGATGCTGTATCTCATCATATTTTGTTATCTAAATTGCAATTTTATGGAATTCGTGGCATAGCATATCTGATTCAGAGGTTTAATTGTTATTTGATGAATAGGACGAATCTGTTGGAATTGTTTCATTCAGATTGCAACACTTTATCATGTGGCGTGACGCAAGGCTCGATTTTTGGGCCACTGATTTTTCTGATCTATATTAATGATATTTTTAATTGCTCGTCTTTCTGCCAGTTTGTTTTATTTGCCGAAGATACCACACTTGTTGCATCTCATAACGATTTAAATACTTTGGTTGATCTTTTGAATGAAGATTTGAAATATGTTAATGAATGGTTGATTTGCAATAAGTTATCTGTAAATGTATTGAAAACAAATATTTGGTATTTGTAAACCGTCGAAATGTCAAATCTTGTTATTGAAATGTTTCACTATACATTAATGGTTTACGTATCGAGCATTGTCGCGTTATAAATTGTGTAGGCGTTTTATTTGACGAAAACCTATCCTGGAATTTTTATATTGATTCAGTTACCAACAAGATTTCCCGCATGTCGGTGTTATTGGTCATTTAAGATAAACTGTGCCACGTCGTATTTTATTATGTTATATAATGCCTTTGTTTTTCCACACATAATGTACTGCAATGTTGCATGGGCTTCTAAACATCAGTCTAAATTATTGAAACTACACAGGTTACAAAAACGTGCATAACGTTTTTGTTCTCATTTTGATTACCGTGCCCCGTCATAACCTCTGTTTATAAGATTTCAAACCCTGTTTACGATATACACAAATTACAAACTTCTTTGATAATGCATCGGTTTACTACTAACACATTTCCTGATGTTTTGAAAGAAATTTTCTGTACGAATGCTACAATACACAATTACAATACAAGAAATGCCTCTAAGTTTCACCAATGGGAAGTAACTTCCAGCATTGTTGCAAATTCTCTACGCCATCATGGCCCTAAAGTTTGGAATACATTACCAAATTCATTACAATCAATTCAGTTCACCAAACCATTTAAACGTTAAACTTAAGATGCACTTCTTGTCAGTGTATAGTTCTTCTTAAATGATATATTGTAAACGTTGTTTATCTCTTTACTCTTCTCCAGCTGTTTCTTATTCCAATTTAAATATATGTACATTTTGATGTATTTTTCTTTGCCTATGTTTCACAACAATGTATAATGTCGTTTTTACTGTGATTGGAATCAAATAAAGTTCAATTCAATTATAACGATGAAGTTATGCTTTTATTGAAAGATATTTTGTTTGACTGTCAACCAATCATCTAAATCCATCTAAAGCCTCATGTTTGTATTGTACACCAGTAGGTGTCCGGATACGATTTTAACCAGTTTCCCTACATTGTAGCTCAGCTTCGTGAATATATTAGTATAAATGACGATTGGAAGAAGTAAAATAGTTATTTAGTGAATGAAATATCAGCTTAATGAAATTTGTTCTTAATTTGTTCATTCTTGTTTATTTCATAACATCTTTCTTTCTTGGTTTCTTTATCATTCACAAGTCATGCCCATTATTGAATCCATTTAATAAACAATCTCTTCAGAGTTTCACATCAATATCTGCTCTTACCTCTATAGCCTTTTTTGTCTCTATTATATACATTTTGTTTCTTGCCGACGTCTCTTTTTTTGTACCATTCTTCTTCCATCTTTTGATCTTTTGACTCCTCCTCTGCTCTTCAAGTTTATGTGAGTGTGTCTTGCTTCTCTCATTAAAATGTTTACCTCTCTCTTTGCACACTCTTTCTGTCTGCGGTATTTGTTGATATTTTATCGTATGTCAATTATCATCTCTTGTCTCTATCTTTAGCTGTGTCTACACTTACCTCTCCATCATGTTAAATTCATGTAATTCCTGTTTTCAACTAGGGCGTGAATTATGGATAGATGTAATTTGACCTTCTAACACATGATTTTTCTCGTCATTAGCCATTACTACTACTAATGCTAAGTTCACCTATTATTTCTACTATACTCCTTCTACTACTACTACTACTACTACTACTACTACTACTTCTAATACTCTACTTCTACAATAATTACCCTCTTCGTATCCATCTTTCAGGTGAATCCATTGCTTGAAGCCTTCGGAAATGCTCGAACTGTGATGAACGACAACTCGAGCCGATTCGGCAAATTCCTTCAACTTCAGTTCACAGAAGACTGCCAAATAGTAGGAGGTACATTTCACAGTGTTTTCTTTTTTTAAAGAAAATGGAGAAGAAAAAAATCAAAGTCATTATTATCATGTAATAAACATTATGTAATATAAAATCAGGTTGATTCAAGTCAAATAGAATGTAAACTTTCATCTTAAAAAAAAAATGATTGTGATACGTGTACTTTTAATTTTATATTTCTCCAATTTTGTATGTTTAAACATGAACTTAGATTTTACAAATTTTTACACAAATTACTGTTGGGACCTTCGCGATGAAATTATGGTATTTTGTCCATTGTCCTACATTCTAGCCAAAATTGACACGTACTTACTGGAGAAGTCTCGTGTGGTATCGCAAGGAGAGGGAGAAAGAAACTTCCATGTCTTCTACTATCTGTTTGCTGGATTGACGGAACAGCAGCTCTTGAGTATACTGCTCTCACCTCCTGAAAAACACAGGTATGTCAGACCTAGGTGCTAACTTTCAGATGGGTGTTGCCGCGAAAAATGAATGTAAGAGTTTGAAGTCTGCCTTACATTTTCCGACTCGAGACAAGTTGTTCCAAATTACAGTTGTACCGTTTTTTCCCCAAGTTGTAAATCACCTATTAGAGGCAATCTATTCTGAAGACAATACGATCAAAACGTCGAGAACCGACACAACTCGTTATAAGAAGACTACAGCGCTGTATGGCAGCTAGGCTAAAGCCAGGGTAGCGACACTATACTTTGTATTCACCTTGAACATCCTCTGGGATGTAATAATAAATAAAATAATAACGTTTTATTTACCCAGGGTAGCCACTTCAGTTATGAAACTGCTCTTCCAGCGGGCCCTGCATAACATAATATGTTATTACTACCCTTCTCCAATCTAATATGCTGAGCTCCTACCTAGAAGGCAGAAGGTCCCATTGTTATAAGTCTTTGGTATGACTCGGCCGGGGTTCGAACTCATGACCTCCCGTTCATGAGGCGGGCGCTCTAACCACTGAGCCACCATACCCGGTATGTAGCTATTGATATTATCATTGTGAAAAAACTGTGACCTTACGAGCTTTTCTTTTGCGAAACAGGACACTTACTGGGAGAGGAGAGAAAAACATCTACACCAGCGAAGACGAGTTCCTGCATTGCCAGAAGAACTACGATGAACTCCAGGATATCATGGAGCTAGTTGGCTTCACTCAAGAGGACATCTGGATGATCTACCGTCTCCTCTCAGCCGTCATTCAGATCCCCGACATCGAATTCGATGTTGATGACGAGACGGGGGGTTCCTATATCGTCGATGAATATGTCCTGAAAGTTGGTAAGACCTACGAAAATTATTTTGGTTTACATTATAAAAAACTAGTTTGTTTTACTACAACAGTAGGCCTACATAAGACAAAAATACATTGACAATGCTGATGGAAATATAATGGGGAAATGATCGCATGCTGAAATGATAGACGAAGGGGAAAAGAAGAAAAGAAATAATGAACAACCTTATGAATAAAAGGTTATTATCACATAATAAATGAATGACTGACAGACTGAATGATTGAACTAATAGATGACTGGTTGACAGAATGAATAAAATAATGAACTCATGAATGAATAAAATAGTTAATGAATGATCTAGTTATTTTTTCAAACCAGTTTCTTTTTTATTTTACTCGATCTCGATCTCCTTTCTCTTTAACAGTCGCCACGCTCCTCGGTCTAGACCCGTCAGCCCTGGCTACAGCTCTCATCTCAAATATAGTTGAAGCAAGGGGTGAGTGTACTCTCCAATATTTCCTCCTAATGAATATAATATCATGATTTGATATCTCAGTAGATCAGAGCGAGAAGAGAGTTTTATCTTATCATTAAACACAGGATTAACAGTCCTTCTGGCACTCAACGGATTTGCATCAAGATTTTATTGAGCAAATAAAATGATGTGATACAGGGCAATATAACGCAACTGGATTCCCAATTCATTATCGAAAGATATATTGACCTGTTTGTCTTTTTCAAATGCCGTACGTTTCCAACTTTTCCACATTTTATGTGATTATAATGATTATGCATGTCTATATCTATTGTTATATATTCTGTCCATACATATATAAGAATAGAGGCCGACTATTAAAACTGTATTTTTCTCTTTCTGTACTGATATATCTGAAATTGGTGCGACTTATTTTCTTTTTACAAAGTAAGATGTAAAGGGCACCAGAGGGCAATAGCCCCACAAAGTGATATGCTCTCCTATGTATGTTTTCGACCACTGACCACTTCATGAAATGGATCCACACCTGTAGGTAGTGAAAGAATAAGATTATTTCTATTAGCTAGTCTATAAGACAAAATTTAACTTCTATGATAATTTACTTTAATCGTTCTCGTCTTACCCAGGCGAACAGATCGTGACTTTGAAGAACGTCGGGCAGGCGAACGATGGCCGGGATGCCCTAGCTAAGGCTCTCTACAGTAAGCTCTTCAATTGGATCGTCAACCAAATCAACTCCCTCATCGCTCCCGATGATGATTGCCCGTGAGTATTTTATTTTATGATATGATATGATTTGATTCTTCTAGTTATTAAGATACAACTTTTTCAACCACATCTACATATTAAAGAGAAACATTGATAGGTATGAGAGTAAAACAAACCGCTGGAGGTTCTTAGAATGTGGACAGACGGGCAGTGAAACGGCCATAGTCATTCGTGTATGATGGAATTTTATTTTATTTTTATATGACCTCTGTTGCACCAAATATCATCGAGTGCTTAAAGACCACTACCGGTACCATTTTTTTTTAATTGTGGTGCTAACGACAAAAGTGATTCGTTATTATTTTCGAGTCGGTGCTCGGGGATTGGGATAATTATTGTCTGTGTTCCCAGACAGTACTGTTGTTGAAGATAAATTGTCACTATAGTCTTTGATTTTGAAAAAAAGTTCTTGAAATGACTTGTCGGACAACATGGTTAGAAAGAGCGAAACAACATAGGAATATAGGTTTATTTTCTCCATCTTAATGTTTCAAGTTAAGTCTCTTGTTCTGAGGTGTTTTGTCTTCTCATCCCAACATAATCACATTATGGGATGAGAAGACAAAACATTTTCACATGATGACGGTATCTTTACAGGGGAACTAAAGGCTACGAGATCGGCATCCTAGACATCTACGGCTTTGAGAACTTTGGGAAGAACAGCTTCGAGCAGCTGTGCATCAACCTTACCAACGAACAACTTCAGTACTACTTCAACCAACGGATCTTTGCCTGGGAGTTGGCCGAGTACGCCGGGGAGGGTATCCCCAAGCACTCGGTCAAGTACCAAGACAACATGCCGGTTCTGGACCTCTTTCTGGCGGTAAGGATTGGACCATAGACGTAATACGTCTATGATTGGACCAAGGTTTTCCGGATGAGTTGTGGGATAATATAAATTGACTTGCAATCACTATATACGAAATAGCAAACAAGAATGAAGTGTGACAAGAATGAGAAGGGAAACAAAAGAAGGAAACATGAATGGATGTTAGAGGAGACTTTTAAAATCATTTGTTTGCCACATAATATTGTAAATCAATTTGATCTGCTCGATTCGAAGTGGGAATTGATGTTAGAGGAAATGTAGCAAAAGTCGAAAACAGTAAATCTTACACCGACAATGAAAAATGCTTTATAAGATGGTGAACGGTTAATAAGTTAAACATATGAATCAATAAACAGACTTAGATCTACATTCTTGTTATTCTTCAAGCTCCAGAAATATGACTAGGTTCGTTTTTAGTCGTCTCTTTGTTAAATCACATATTTCCCTCCATTTCTAGAAGCCGCTTGGTCTCCTTTCACTCCTGGACGAGGAGGCTAGGTTCCCCAAGGGCACTGACGTCACCCTAGTGGGCAAGTTTTCGACCAATCACAGCAAGAACAGCAACTTCTTGATGCAGAAGAAGAACAAGGGTAACACGACTATCTTCGGGGTCAAGCATTACGCATCAGAGGTAGGATTGTTTCTCATACAATTATCTATTTATTTGTCCACACCTTGAAAACAATTGGGCAGAATAATTGTTCATTATCTACTAATAAAGGATGGAAAGGGACAAGCGTGTTTGTTGGGTAAAACTGAACACCATATTGAGTGACACTTCACACACACACACACGCACGCACACACACACACACACACACACACACACACACACAAAATCTGCATGTTTCATTTAATCCCCGTATTGGACATGTTTTACCCAACTTATCTACAATACAACTATTGTTGTAATCAAAAGTATATTCAACTTGTACATGTGGGAGGAGCCCAAATAGATGCTCCTTCACATTGAGCTGAACTAGTGAGCCTGAAGTCGCAGACAAAATATAAAATATCATTCATGGAGAAACATTTGGCCGCTGCCGCTGGCTACGCTACATGTATGTAGATTGTTCTCCATCTACCTTAATATCACAGAATTATATCCATGTATACTAATCTTCATCATAATATATTGATATTGTTATAATTTTCATACGTGATTATTTCTATTTTAATACAGTGTATAAACATACATCTGTCCGATTCAATTGACAAATTTGAAGAAATATTGCCAAATAAGTCACTTTGAACCTGTAGCTTTAACTAGATTCTCTCAACGCACTGCATGTATATTTGTATGTTACCTATTTTTTTGGTTTCGTTTTATTTCAGATCTGGTACGACTCTACAGGGTTTCTCGAGAAGAATCGTGATACATTCAGCTCTGTTCTATCTGAATGCTTGACCAAGTCAGATAATGGTCTGGTTAAGTTCCTCTTCGTTCAACAACAAGAACAAAAGTAAGACCCTTCTCCCTACTTCCGTCCTAGTAATTAGAATATGATGACAATAGTTTGTTTAACAGATTGGATATTTAAGTCTGTAACATGTTCATGTAGTTGATTCTTTTGTACCCATGTGGTCGATGCGTTTAAGTTTAAAGTCACTCTGTATATCATTCTTGGGGCAATTCTCAGTTAAAAACTTTAACATTTCCTTCTTTCTAATTGTTGATATTGCATTACTGTGATTATGAATCTTAATTCAAATTCAAGACTGGAACTTGAAGTACAGTTACAGCTATAATTTCACAATTTATATTCACTATATTATATAGGCCTATCTGAACATAATTATTACGAACTTTAACTCCTTTTAATTTTGTTTTATTGTAATGCTTTTAGAAACATCATTGGTCAGATGATGTCAATTGAGTGTCATTCGGCAGCTAATCGGAAACAATTAAAGAATGTTTTGAAAATAATAAAAGATCACGACGTTTCGTGCGCCGCTGCAACACTTCGTTATCACCTGACGAAGTGTTGCAGCGGCGCACGAAACGTCATGATCTTTTCGATCCCTTGTTGACCATACATTGCGAGACAAATGAATATCACTAGCGATATTATTTTTGATACTACATCCTAATATATTTAGCATTAATTACAAAATGGTTTATACTATTTGTGCTTTTTAGTAAAAGGGGTCTGGGCACTCCGTTCAGGAATCAGAAGGATATCTTGATGTGCAAGCCGGCCCCTACGATCACGATCAACCCAGGTGTGAGTCTGTCCAGAGAAGCCGCTAGGAAACTAAAGAAACAGTAAGGGCATTATTATTATTATTATTATTATTATTTATTTATTATTATCATTATTATTATTATTATTTTTTTTTTGGGGGGGGGGGGGGGTGGAGGGGATGCAGATAATTTTATTAAGCTCAAATGGGACCTCAAAGAGAGAAGAAAAGAGGAGCAAATAATCGCAGACTACACATGATATTCATGAAGAAACCCACACCAATGCAGATCGGATACCTCATGAATCATGACGGATGATAATATCTATCAAAAATTTGCATTGCACGATACATCTCTCCCAATTATATATAGTGATAATCAATGTTTTATTCAGAGCTCTCAGCCTGTCAGTGATAGCAATTTCATTAACTGAAGGCTCACCTTTATTCGAGAAAAAATGAAAGAGATTATCCCTTCCATACTTTATGTTTTTAGACTGAAAGAAGAGAAAACGGCCAGAGCTAAAGCAGCCAGGTCCAAGAACCAAATACCTACCGTAGGATCCCAATTCAAGGTAAGGATAGTCTTATTTGATACTCAACCTATACAGATTGAGATTGAGAGAGAAAAGGGGGATAGAGAGAGGAATAAAGATAGAGAGAGGAATAAAGATAGATAGAGAGAGAGAGAGAGAGAGAGAGAGAGAGAGAGAGAGAGGAAGAGAGAGAAAATGACAGAGCTGTTTTCTGTGTATTATTTATCTCATTTTCATTTGCTACATTTCATCCACCCTTGAAAGATATTCTTTTTCGCTATAAAGTAAAAGGCAGTACATCATATTAATGGAGAAATTGGACAATTAAGTTGAAATCTATTTTTTTATTAATTTCTTTGAAAAGAAAAATATCAAGTGAAGAGCTTTTTACGTTGATGTAATAAATATAATCATTTCTGGCTAAGAATGTTGAGGTCAATCGTTTTGCTGGAAATTCTGTCTCTTTTCATAAGTCACGATGTTAAATGGGTTTGAACGCGCGCCAAAGCGTACACCGTATGGTTTGTTTGGGTTACGATCTAAGGGCTAGGGCATCTAGCCAAATGATTATACGACTTTTCAAAGAAGGACACTGCATAAAGAAAGGTAAATTTCCCACCAGTTTTTGAAAGTCATGTTCACGTTACTTAAGGTCATAATGGATAGCTGGAAAGCTTCAAAATGTAACCAATAGAATCTTCTTTCTCGTGAGAAATTTTGGATGAACCTTTGTTGATGAAAGTATATGAATCAAATGATCTTAGAATTCTCTGACATAAAAATTAATGTAGACATTTTCTGTCGTCACCTCAGGATCAATGCAGTACATTCACATGCAACGTAGTATTGAATATCAAAGTATGTCGCAAAAAACACATAGGTAACATGAAAATCAACGAATCTATCGTCACCTGTGTGAACTTAGGAGGAGAGTAGATCACACTTAAGTGACCTGCGATTTCTAAGAGTCTGTAAGGGAAGAAGGAAGATTGATTCACGACCTCAATTAAAGTGAATGGATTGCTTCCTGTTGTCTTCCGAATCGCTTCGGCTAAGGGATGACTATGGGTGAATGCGGTCAGTGGATTGCCAGTCTTTCTTTGTAGTCATGGGACTCTGTTTCACGTCGATTTATGGCAGATGTAAACAACATGAAACGAAAGATGACAGTTGCTTAAGAGCATCAAAACAATACCAGATTACCGGAATTTAGGGATTGACCTCTATATCGCAGTTAGTTAATTTATGTGTCGTCTGCTAAGAGCCCGATGGGCACTAACTCTAGAAATAGCGTCATTTTAGCTACTACCACATGTCATATTATGTTGCCATCGCGGCGTTGGGAGGAATAAGTGCCCAAAGTGCTACAAAATCTTCCATGAGCCCGGGGGAATTGGATGAGGAGGAGGGGGGGGGGGGGGGAACTCGCTAACATGAACACCCTCACTTCTAAAGTTACTCGGCGCCATCTTGTCCAAGATACTATTATTCTATTAACATCAAATATGCAGAAGTGCAGGAAGTAATTCAGTTTCAATACCAACATCAATCCACACGACTTGCTGTGAAAATGTTTTGTCTTTTCATCCCATAATGTGATTATGTTGGAATGAGAAGAGAAGGGCAAACAATTATTGGTTGCCAAACCATATCTCACATTTAAGAATTAATATTTCCCCTTCCCAGGGCCAAAGCAAACGTGATGCCTTTCTAGTAACCTTTAGTGATACCGTAAGGTCAAAAAGAGAGGGTTAACCAGAAGAATAGTATGTCATCCTGATTGCCGGATGAATAGGTGATTGTTCGAGGTCTATCCTTCCTTTCTTTGAACCAGGGATATTACATGTCGGTCAACAAACTTTGCCTTGACCAGTATGTTAACAAATTTGTAAACAACGGCGATTACGCATGCGCACTGCGGATTACGGGATGTAGAGAATTGTACATAGCTAAGTGTAGTTGACTTAACAGATTAATAACATAAAGAATAGTAATGTTGACTCGGAAATGAAAGCATCACTAGTGCGCAGTAAAGCTCATTATTGTAAGCATCAACTTGATCTGATTAAAAAACTATTTTTCATGAATGGAGCGATACTCCTTCCTAATCATCATGTTTTGAATTTTAATTTGTATTGAATATGGATTTGAAATACCTTTTTCTGCAATCGATACTTTTTAAAGGTTATGATTAACGAGAGATTTATATTTCCACAATGTGGTATGTGGCATTTCTCACAAATTATTGTGGAAGACATGCCGTCTGTTTCACGCCAAGTATTAGAATATTTGTTTTCTATATTCTTGTGAGTAATTCTAACTATTAACATATTGTTTTTATATCCTTTCTTTTTCAGAGCTCACTGACGAGTTTAATGGAAAAGCTTCTTTCCGCCGACGCCCAGTTCATCCGCTGTATCAAACCGAACTCGTACAGCCGACACAACCAGTTCGACCACGAGTTGGTTCTTCGGCAGCTACGGTACACAGGCGTCCTCGAGACTATCCGGATCCGAAAGAGCGGATATCCAACACGACTTCAGTTCTCGGATTTCCAGCATCGGTAAGTAGATAAAGTGACGTTTTAGGAGGACTCATTTATTCGATGAGTTTTTGATGAAAACATGGATGCCTGTAAGATTAAATGGATACTTGCACGATGGGTCACATCTAGCTGGAAGCTAAGATTTGTTTCAGTCAGATAGGTCCTCTGGCAGAAGAATTGAAATGTTTCTCTGCAACTAGCAAGAAGCATGGATTCTTTTCGACAAGTTGACTTTACACGTGAAATAAACAATTAACTACCGTAAATTTCTTATGGTATTCCTAAATTCGTTTTTCACAGCATGTTTAAAAAAGACAAACCCTTGGTAGGCTATAACTATAGGATCAAACATCAATATGATATTATCTTTGCATTCTTGAGATTCACACATTAGATGAGTATCATCGTAATATGACTTTAATTTTCGTTTTTGTTTTTGTCTGAAAGGTATAAGTTTATTGGCTTCCCACTAACAGCAGACATTGATGTGCATCCCAAAAAGTGCAAGCAAATTCTCGAAGCGGCTGGTTGCACAGACTATCACATAGGCAAATCAAAGGTTAGTGATCTCCTTTTTTACTACATTAATTTTTAAAAATTGTTTTTGAAGTTCAAAGATTTAGAGAAAATGAAATAAGGTCCAATGTGGCTAGTAACCTGACATTATTTGAAAAGACGTGAATACGTAGAAACACGATTGAATATCAAATACTGAGAGATTTTCAGTTTTTCACACACAGGAAAGACATGCCATGCAAAATTTGAATTCGATTGGATTAAAAAATAAAGATCTATATTTCTTATAAAATGTCAGGATTCTCACTGAGGTAGAGAAACAAATTAAGAGAAGAGCCCAATATTTCTTCTTGGATCTTTCCAAGAACACGACGAATAAAGGACGTTGCTCCAAGTTTATCTCACTAACATCATCGTCTCAAAGATGCTTTCCCAGTTGCCATGACAATGTGGATCTAAATAGCAGTTTTGCAAAGGATGCATGCAGTATTTCTAATTTTATTCCTGATTTATAATTAGCCCAAACTACTCCATGGCAATTTAATCATAAGACAATGGTAAGGTAAAAAATTTGATTTAGCCCTTCTAGATCTTTCCATGAACCGACAAATTGAAGGATGTTGCTCAAAGTTTATCTCGTCACCATCGTCTTGTCAAGATGCTATACCATTGTCATGAGAATTCGGATCTTGAGGCACAATCTTACAATGAAGATGCTTGTGATCTTTATACTTCACTATCATTATTCCAAAAGGTCCTTCGGAAAAAAGGGAGATATGTGCGTGCGTGGGCTGTGAGTCTGCATGTGAGTGTGCGTGTGTGTCTGATTATCAAGGGAATATTTCATTCAATATCTGATGATTGGGCTGTTAAATAGTTACGTTGTGACCATCAAAAATGTGTTTGGGTAACTTGGCGAGTATCATCATTGATCATCGAGATTAATCTTTATTATGTTTCCAATTTCTAAATGTTTCTCCAATCAGTAAACACCTTTCTTCCCATCTGATATAAACTATAGCCTATCTCTATTTGTAATATTAAGCTCGATGAACGGTCCATATTTATCGTGTGGAGTACGTTTTCATCATATCATGTTGAATACACAGTTTGTTACTTCAGAGAATAATTCTATTCCAATATATCGGTTATCATGGAATAGATATGAATCGGTCCTTCTTCAAGAATAGAAGAAATTGTTACAAGGATTTCTCTTTGTATGCAGGTTAATGAACTGATTACTGATTTTGTCCACATCAGATTATTGCTGGCATTCTTGACCCAGAATTAGACAAGTTATTTCCCGAGAGGTCTCCTGATGGTCAGGCTTGGTTGCAGCAAGTCACCTCCCTAGTTGCAGCCTTGGTTTTATTTCACAATGTGAGCCCATGTAAAAGAGACAAAACACACGAGGGTCATTGATTATGAAAAAGCTCTCTCCCGGGATGGCCGTGATGGCGATCAGTGTCGCTTCGATGACACGATGCCATACAGCGAAACGTGTTTGTGGTCACGGGCCCATGACTAGTCACAGTAGGAACACAAACATTGATCTAAATCGGTCACTCACATTCTCCGAAAAGACCTGGGATGTTCGACTAATGGCAACTTCCAGGTGGCCATCAGGTATTAAGAATGAAAAACATCCATGTTATACGTGGCTATGGCGACACTTCCTTGCCGCTAGAAAGTTGCTATGGTGTCTCGTTATCATGATACTCATTTTTTCCTCTCCCGCCTCCCGCCGCCTGTACACAATGTGACGTCATAATTATGGTGCATCTTTTTGGCGCCACCTGGGATATTCTTCATCGTCTGTGGAAGGACTCCTTGACTAGTTCTAAAATTAATTAAAAATAATATGTTTATTTATACCATTGGCAGGGAGAAAAATGCACTGAGCTGATTGATCATAATTATGGGTTTTGTTTGTCAATTTGAGAGCCTTTTTTCGTTTTATGTTCAAAGCTTACATCAAATCCTATTCTCATATCACTGTGCTAACTGATTTCACGTCTCCTCCTCTCTCTCCCTCTCTCTACCTCACTCTACCTCTCTCCCTTCTCTCTCTCTCTCTCTCTCTCTCACTCTCACACACACATACACACACATATACGCACACCACTATCTTTCTTCTCTAATCTGACTCTCTACAGACTCCTTTTATATCATAAAAAATGAACAAACAAGCCTTCGTCATTGTTTAATAATTTATTCCACCTTTCCCGATGATGACATTTACTTTTATCTTATTATTGGTGCCACTAATTGCCGAAATGACAAGTTGTTTACAGCAGAAAATCTGCAGAAGAGGCAGGGCTAAGCGATTTCCCGGTCGGCTGAAGATACACGCAAGTATTTTGTATATATCTCACCGTAAAAAGTACATTGAATTCGGAGCTGGAGTGATATCATCTTGTCGATGTTCTCGAGTCAGGAAATTTGGATTCAACTGAATTAAACTTGATGACTAAATTATTCCACAGGGCATACAAGAATTTGTGTTCGTTTATGAATTCGTGTTTCCTACCCCGCCTAGACCAGACGCCATTGCACAGGACACTCTATTATCAGGACGCCCCAATCTTCCTTACATAAGTAACAAACACAGTTGCCATCGGTGGGACCATCAACGTCTCCTTGCAGCGATTTTAATCATGATGATGATAACAGTGATTAACAAACGGCTATGCATCTTGGAAAGTATCCAAGGCAATAAACATCCTCTTGTTTTCATCACGTGCTCCTCACCCGAATAGTTAAATGTCTACTTATGGCTCTTAATCCAGACTGGATCTGTTTTTGACGGAAAGTCTAGTTCTATAAATGAAGCGCAATCTGGTAAGACAGGGCATCTAGTTAGTTACAATAATTTGGTCCAGATCCAAGTTAGGCCAGGGATATCCTGGACAGACCTGGAGTCTAACATGTGACGCCCACATGTTGAGTTGGACCTGGTCCGTATCTTAGGATGTGATCAGGCCACAGTGTTCCTCGTCTAATCTAGCCACAGGCCCTTGTTGACCACTTGCAATGGGGGCGTTAGCCTTGTTCGTTACAAGGATGTCTACCTTAAAGAAACGATCCTCCCACTCACAAGACACACATCGGGGGCTAACGTTAGATGAAATCATGGATAAGATACAGTTCTCGTCCCATCTCTCGAAGCTGCTGAGATTCGGGTCAGTTCTGTTTAAACAGTCTATATCATCGATCTAATTTATCAGGGATTAGCTGGGGAAAACTAGGTTCGTCATGGTAATCATATCAATATTGTACTTCAACATTAACAAATGAAGAAAAACAAAAACCAGTACACAAGATTTTTTTTAAAGCCTTCAACTATCTTTTGGCAATGCCCTCCCTGTAAGCCATCATCGTTTATTTACATCCGTAGTATAGTCAGGGGCCTGTGGATTTTAGGTCCCTGGTAATTAAAATTTGCATTATAGAACGAATATTTATATTTGCCACGCCGAAGTAAAAAAATTTGCACCTCTTTCCTTAAACTTGCTCCATGCACTGGAAAGTGATAATGTTCGTGTGATGTACACCCTGCATCTTGTAACGCACGAATTCACCTGACATTTTGTCTCGAAGCTGTGACTCCAGTTATCTCGTTTATGATCAGCTCATGAAGGATACCATAGTGAGTCAACTTTGTTTAGCCTCCAATCCCTAATTTCCCGCCCTTTGCTATGTACCCTTTGACCGACATGCGTCTGCACGAGGGGTGACGAGAAAATGTTATATTACTGACTACTGAGACACTAATCACTGTAATAAAAATAATATGGGGATATTTCCTAATTCTTTATACCGTTTGTCAGTCACAAGTCTGCGCAAAGATAACGAGAAATTATTGGAGGGATCGATGGAATATCACAAAAATTAGCATCCTATGCAGATGCTTATTATTATTGTTTCTTTTGATTATTATTAGGTACGAGACATAATAAGCAGTTCTCGGCTGCGAAATCACTGCTCGACGCCATTGCACCTCCTATTTAAGATTATTGTTTTGGTCTGAAATTACGTCTTCTTGATGGAAAAGTGTGTATATGTGTGATGTTGGAGGGGGGGGGGGGGGGGTCGCAACTTCCATAGAGGTGCAATTGACTGTTCTTCAAGTTTTACGGAATGAAACTGGTGTTGTTGTTTTTTCCTGAAAAAATGAGCACCCAGTAATAATTATTGGTTATTTGGTTGTCGGCCAATCCGATATTAATTATTATGATCGCTGTTTTGTAGCTCAGTAAGCCTTTTAACCTCATTTAAAGTCGAACATAATTCTCGTCAGCATTTTTCTTGTTTTTAGTTGGGGGCTGTTTTTTTTCTTCTTCTCTTCAACAGTTTCGAAGAATTTTCTCTGAACGACCAAAGCATCGAGACTATAGTTTTCTAATCGTCAAGCCTAAAATCGATTCCGAAGGCTCGATTTTAAGACACCTTTTAAAGCCCCCCCCCCTAATCAACAGTTCTGTAGACTTTTTAAGAAAGAAAAACACATAAAAGGCATTGTTGTCTAATCATCAAGCTTTTAGTATGAACCCAAGGCTCGATTTTCAGGCACTTTTAAAAACAAAATAATTACTTAGAAAGGTGCAGTTTTAGGGTTCCACCTTATCATTGCTTTGTATATTATTTTCTGCCGGCTCGGAAATCTGGGGACCTAAGCACTGATCGTGTTTTTAAGATAAAAGATGATTGATTTAATTCAAAACTATTGGCGGACCTTAGAAGGGAAATCTGATTTATGTTTCCAGAAATAAAGTTCCGTTCACAGTATGAGTGGTCCGAACTACTGAACTTTTCGACTGAACAGGTCATATAGAGAATGATTTGTTTGGTTGTTTGTATCTTGTCATTTTAAATCTGTATGAGTTCTTTTTTATTTGTTCACTTCTTTTTTTATTCTAGTCTTGTTAATGTAACAGTTGTTGTTTGTTTCTTCTTGTTCTTGATCTTAACTTTTTGTTTTCTTTGTTTTATTGTTCCCTTAAAAATGATTCCACCCATCTTTTCCACCTATGTTTGCCATAT